CACTTGAACCAAATCAAAACCCCCCCCCAATGTGTGTGTGAGTTGTGTGTTTGATACGTTGTGTGTCTTGTTTACTGAATTCTGTTTATTTGCGTAACTGTTTTGGACTTTTGGTCGGCGCTGTGTTCTTCGTTTTTGTGTACTGAATCCAACCGTATAAAGAACGTGAATTTTGGACAAACGGTTGGAAAGTTATAGGTCAAAAACTGGACAGAGGTCGAAACTGAAAAACAGAGAAAACGACTCTGTGCAAAAATGACCGGTCGCTTTTACCTCACGACCGGTCGCTCATCACGCAAAAATTAAGTTTCGACTCTGTGCTAAAACGACCGGTCACCAGACACTGTTCACGCACTGTTCACGCACTATTCACGCACTGTTCACAGGTGATACAGTGGTGATAAAATGGTGATAGAAAATGCTGTTTGTGTTTTTCTTTAGTTTTCTTGTGTTGTTTCATTTCCTTTACACTTCTTTACTCATTTTTAGTTTCCATTTTGCATTTGTGCATTTGTGGTGTGTTAAATTAGTGTTCTTTACGTACTCAAATTAGAACTTATAGGAAGCCGACAAGTTCTTCGTGGGATCGACCCCGTACTTACATAATCTATACCTCAATAGATTCGTGCACTTGCGAGTATTTTTAATTGGTTGTTTGCACATTAATTTGTGTCCTTTTAGGAATGCAACAACAAGGTGGGTACATCCCATGATAATTCACGTCGTTCTTCAGGAACGAGTTTGCCTTGTTGTTCTTTAGGAACAGATTTTTCTCCCCCTAAAATTGTCTCACCAAAATGACAATCCGCAAACCGTGCCCTAAATATATCACCCATCAGGGGCTCCAGATATCTGATGATAGATGGTGAATCAAAACCAAAATAAATTCTGAATCTGCATTGAGAGCCCATCTTAGTATGTTGCGGTGGTGCAATAGGCACATATACCGCACAACCAAAAACTCTTAAATGTGAAATGTTTTGTTGATTATCCAACACAAGTTGTATTGGAGAATATTGATTGTTGGCAACGGGCCTCAACCTTACCAGTGATGCTGCATGTAAAATGGCATATCCCCAACCAGAAACTGGCAACTTTGTTTTCATTAGCAATGTGCGTGCTATTAATTGAAGACGCTTAATTAAAGCTTTTGCCAAGCCATTTTGAGTATGAACATGGGGAGCAGGATGTTCAATGTCAATGCCTAGCGACATGCAGTAATCATCAAAAATCTGAGATGTAAATTCACCAGCATTATCGAGTCTGATTGACTTAATGGGATAATCTGGGAATTGGGCTCGCAATTTAATTATCTGAGCCAAGAGCTTAGCAAATGCCATATTCCGAGTAGATAAAGGGCAAACATGTGACCATCGGGTAAATACATCAACCAAGACCATAAAATACCGAAATGGTCTAAAGGGAGGATGAATAGGCCCACAAATGTCCCCTTGGATTCTCTGTAAAAATGATGGGGACTCAACATCAACCTTTGGTTGTGATGGTCTGATCACCAACTTCCCTTGTGAAGAAGCTTGGCAAAAGCTGTCACTTGATACCATAATGTGTTTTGTCAATAAGGGATGTCATTTAGAGTTGGTGATGATCCTACGCATCATGGTGGATCCAGGATGACCCAACTGGTCATGCCAAAGCTTAAAAGTATTTGAGAAAATGGACTTCTGGTCCATGACACTATGTGCCTCAATTATTCGTATGGTTGTATAGTACAACCCTGATGAGAGTGCACAAAGCTTCTCCAGTATACGCTTCTGGGTATCACTCGAGGTAATGCAAAGATATTCCATGTTTTCCTCATTCTTTGTTTTAACATGGTAGCCATTCAAACGTATATCTTTGAAACTCAACAGATTCCTTCTGGAGTTAGATGAATACAAGGCATCTTGAATGGACAGTATTGTTCCATTTGGTAACATAACTTGGGCTATTCCTGAGCCTTCAATCATATCTGCAGGACTTGATATGGTTGTTACCTTTGCTTTTGTAAGCATCATCTCGAAGGATCGTATGAGTAGTCACACTATCTGCGAGACAAATATATTTGCTAGAGCACTTATTTTGGGAGCATCTAGAATTTTGTCGGCTGCGCAAATCTCACGGCCTGGGGTTCCGGGCCGAGGGGATGTGCGTTAGCACGTGGCTTCCTGCTTTTGGATGCGATGCGGTTGTGCGCGGGCGTGCCAGCACGGTATACCGTGCGTCGAGATGTTGATGTGGATAGAATGGTCAAGTGGTGCGCCTGTTTGAACTCGTCTTCTAATCAAACGATTGTAGTCAAGAGAGGAACTGATCTCGGCTGTAAGGTTCACGGCCTGAGCTACAAGGCCGTTTAGGGGTGGTGCTGATGGTGGGTTTTGGGCGGTGCTCCGGCGCGCTGCTCAGTGAGCGACGGTCGTATGATATATGGGGTGAATGAATGAGTAATAGAGATGGTGCTCCGGCGCCTTGAAAATCAAGGGTCGTATGATATTTTGATAAATGGATTTTCCTTACAAACTAACACTACTCCTAGGAAAGCAAGTAAAGATATTGAAAGTGCATTACAGGAAAATATAATTTGCTCCGTGAGAGACTTTTGTTTGGTGTTTGAACCCTGTGAATGTAGCTTGAGCCTTGTATTTATAGGAAGAGTTCTTGGAGGAGTAATCGAGGCTAAAAATCTGCATGGTGGAGCCTGATTAGAGCAAGTGGGTAGTCCAATCGACATTTGGGATCGTGAAGCATGGTGGTGTGACCCCATAAATCCCGGTGAATCTCGGCCACCGCCCTGATCGTGGGTTCTGCGCCTCTGGTCGTGGAGACGCATTTATTGTTTCTGATAGTTGGTGACCCAATCTCTCAAACTGCAAGAATTCTTGTGAGAATGTCTGCGTCTAATCACTCTGATTCCTATCACCAAATCCTGACTTCAATCACTTCCCACCTTCCCTTGTGCATTAAATGCTTATTCGTGGTCAGTGGGTTTGCTACCATAAACAGAGGCATTGTTTCATTAAATGAAGCGTGGGACCCTGCTGCCACTTGATGATCTGACCTTAGTACTTTTGGCCGTGATTTTGTTCGGCCTCGGCCTCGGCCTATAGTCAAGGCCGAGATGATCATGCCTTCACAACTTTTCCTTTGCTTTTTAGGAAGGCCAGACATCTTGGCAAAACGCCGCGTTTTAGCCTCACGAGCGAGTGTTATGGCCGAGAAAAGGGGCTCCTTCGATCAGTTCTTGGCAGTGGTTTATTAGGCACAAACAAATTTATATCCATACCTTCAAATAAATAAAATAAGTTGAATCAATAAACAATTATTCAAAACATTGCCACTTTTATTGGATTGAAATGAAGATTAAAAAACAGTGCTTCAGATAATATAAATGGTACATAAAGGAATCTAATCCAATTCGGACCCATAAACTTCATTCCCCCTTTCGGTAACAAAATCGGAAACATCTAGATGCGTCTTGTCTAACTAATGCGATATTTTCGATGGGCCGTCTATGACTGGCGGATTTGGTACAACATAATTTGTCTCCACTTTCCTGTTTTAAGTGAAGCTTGATAAAGATCCGCCAAATGTCCCTTTGCACCACATCTGTGACAAGTGCTTTCAACATTTCTAGACACATGGCTTGTCTGTGCTTTCCCCTTATTTCTGGATGCATTTTTGCCATTTGTAGATGGATTGTTCTTTGGCCCCAAGCCATATGAATGAGCACCACGATCTTTTCTACTCCCTTGTCATCGGCCACGCTTGCCTCATCGCCCACGTTTATGGATACCGCTACGAGATGAGGCGGCATTCACTTCCCGAGATGCAGCATTTGTTTCAGGAAGTGGTGCTAAGCCCATTGGGTGAGATTGGTGATTCTTCAATAAAAGCTCGTTATTCTGCTCAGCTAACAAGAGGCAAGATACAAGTTTTGAGTACTTCGTGAAACCACTATGCCTATATTGCTGCTGCAGAAGCACATTTGAGGCATGAAATGTACTCAGTTTTTTCGAGCATATCTTCCTCAGAGATATTCTCAACACATAATTTCATAAGGGAGGTGATCTTGTGCATATCTGAGTTGTATTCAGATACTGTCTTGAAATCTTGACATCTCAAGTGTGTCCATTCATATCTGGCTCTTGGGAGAGTCACCGTCTTCTGATGATTGTATCTCTCACATAAAGCTTTCCACAGAACCAACGGTTCATCAACCACCACATATTCGCTTTTCAGCTCTTCATGAATGTGGCGACGAAGGAAAATCATGGTCTTCGCATTTTCCTCAGGTGATGCATCACTTCCATCTTCAATTGTTTTTCCAAAGCCATTAGCACGCAGATAGATCTTGGCATCCAGGACCCATGATAGGTAGTTGTCCCCAGAAATGTTTAAGGCAGCGAATTCCAATTTTGCCAAATTTTTGCCATCTTAAAAAAAAAAATGAGATGCATCAGAATTTGCAATAATATTTTGCAATAATCTTCAGGCTTAATATATTTTTGAACTTCAAGCAAAAGATATCATGCATATTTTACCCAAAATTTCAGGCTCGGGATCTGAGACATTAAGCCATTTATTAATAGGAACTTCAGGCCCTGTAATTGTTTGATGAACTCCAGGCCCTCATTATTCATGTATATTAATTGATTATAAAAATAAAGTGTTATAAATTTACTGATATAGACGATAAACCCGCACCATACTTTAAATGAAAGTAAATGTGCGATAAAGTAAATTCATAAAGTAAATTGCTTGCTGTATGGACGTTAATCCAGCATCATACTTTAAATAAAAGTAAATGTGCGATAAAGTAAACGTGCTGGTATGGGCACTACTTCTTCTCCATACTTTTAAATAAAAAGAAATAAAGGCAGTTGTGTGAACGATAAACCCGCACCACACTTTAAATAAATATCACCGTATGGGTAATAAACCTACACCATATAGTAAATAAAATAAATGTGGGGATAAGACCACCACTAAAAATATAGGAGGTGAAAACCGCCCATAGTAAATGTGGGGATAAGAACCACCACTAAAAATATAGTATATTTTGTGGGCAATATAACTGCACCACTATTTAAGACATAACAAGATGGGTTTTAAGATCACACCATCATTTTATTATGATAATTTGTGTTACAACGCGATGGGTAATGAAAATTACACCACCATAAAAAAACAGGATGGGGTATAAAACCTCGCCATTCCAAATTACATTACAAAGAAATAAATTAAACAAACATGGATGAAACAACATAAAAATTGTGAGAACACAAAAAAGAAAGTTTGCATGTCATCGTAGTAGTAAAGTGAGAGGAGACATATGACGGAGAGGAGAAAGAGAAATAACCACATAGTGTTGAGCTGAGAAAATTTAAAAGTGGAGAGACTATCGTGTTGATAACGTGTTATGAAATAAAATAATCTGAGTATGGGAATTACCACTGAATATTGGGAGTAGAATTGTATTTAGCTCTTGTGGTTTTACTCTGACAGAACTTTCTTTTACTGATAGAACTCGTCTAAGATAAGGCTCTCACACTCTCAGGATTCTTACTCACTCTCTCTTTAATTTCTCTCTGAATTGGTTGTGTGTTTTACAACTGAGGGGAAGCCTATTTATAAGCAATTAGAATGGCCTCCCGTGAATGCATCTTCAAGATTTTATCCCAACATCATAATTCATCTTTTGACTATCATTTTCTTTATCTTCTTTGTGTGGGCTCCACAATACTCTTTACAACATGTACTTCATATATTTTTAGTGGTGGTTTTATCCCCTTCACCTCCTATATTTTTAGTGGCGGTTTTATCCCTACATTTATTTTATTTACTGTATGGTGTAGGTTTATTACTCATACGACAATATTTATTTAAAAGTGTGGCGTGAGTTTATCGTCCACACAACCGCCTTTATTTCTTTTTATTTAAAAGTATGGAGCAAAATTAGTGCCCATACCAGCATGTTTACTTTATCGCACATTTACTTTTATATAAAGTATGGTGTGGAATTAACGTCCATACAGCAAGCAATTTACTTTATGAATTTACTTTATCGCACATTTACTTTTATTTAAAGTATGGTGCGGGTTTATCGTCCATACCAGCAAATTTATTATTAGCACTTTATTTTAATCATAAATTAGTATACATGAATAACGAGGGCCTAAAGTTCCTCAAACAATTATAGGGTCTAAAGTTCCTATTAATAAATGGCATAATGTCCCAGATCCCGAGCTTGAAGTTCCGGATGGCAAACCTGGCAAAATTGGAATTTGCTGCCTTGGACATTTCTAGGAACAACTACCTATCATGGGTCATGTATGCCAAGATCCATCTGCGAGCCAATGGCTTTGGAAAAACAATAGTAGATGGAAGCGCAATAGTAGATGGAAGCGACATATCACCTGAAGAGAATGCGAGCCACATCCATGAAGCGCTGAAAAATGAATATGTGGTGGTTGATGAACCGTTGGTTCTGTGGAAAGCTCTATGTGAAAGATACAATCACCAAAAGACGATGACCCTTCCAGGAGCCATATACGAATGGACACACCTGAGATTTCAAGATTTCAAGACAGTGTCCGAGTACAACTATGCTATGCATAGAATCACCTCCTTGATGAAGTTATGTGGTGAAAGTATCTCTAAGAAGGATATGCTTGAAAAAACTCTGAGCACATCTCATGCCTCAAATGTTCTCCCACAACAGCAGTATAGGCACAGTGGTTTTACAAAGTACTCGGAACTTGTATCTTGCCTATTATTAGCTGAGCAAAATAATGAGCTCCTATTGAAGAATCACCAATCTCGCCCAACGAACTCAGCATCACTTCCTGAAATAAATACTGCATCTCGGGAAGTGAATGCCACCTCATCTCGTGGCAGTATCCACAGACGTGGGCGAGGAGGCAAGCGTGGCCGATGGCAAGGGAGTAGAAAAGATCGTGGTGCTCATTCATATGGCTTGGGTCCAAGGAACAATCCATCCACCAATGGCAAAAATGCATCCAGAAATAAGGGGAAAGCCCAGACAAGCCATGTGCCGAGAAATGTTGAAAGCACTTGTCACATATGTGGTGCAAAGGGACATTGGGCGGGTATATGTCGTACGACGTAGCATTTGGCGGATCTCTATCAAACTTCACTTAAGAACAAGAAAGTGGAGACAAATTACATTGATCATGCTATACCAGATCCGGCAGCCATAGATGGCCCATCGGAAATATCACGTCAGTTAGACAAGACGCATATGGATGTTTCCAATTTTGTTACTGAAAGAGAGAATGAAGTTTATGGGTCCGAATTAGATTAAATTCCTTAATGTACCATTTGTATTATCTGAAGTACTGTTTTTAATTTTCATTTCAATCCAATAAAAGTGGCAATGTTTTCTTTACATTGAATAATTGCTTATTGATTCAACTTATTTTATTTATTTGAAGGCATGGATATAAATTATGGATGCCCCCAAAACAAGAGCTCTAGCAAAGATATTTGTCTCGCAGATAGTGCAACTACTCATATGATCCTTCGAGATCGAAAGTATTTCTCAAACTTGATGCTTACAAAAGCAAAGGTAACAACCATATCAGGTCCTACAGATCTGATTGAAGGCTCAGGAACAGCCCAAGTTATGTTACCAAATAGAACAATACTGTCCATTCAAGATGCCTTGTATTCATCTAACTCCAGAAGGAATTTGTTGAGTTTCAAAGATATACATTTGAATGGCTACCATGTCGAAACAAAGAATGAGGAAAACATGGAATATCTTTGCATTACCTCCAGTGATACCCAGAAGCGTATACTGGAGAAGCTTTGTGCGCTCTCATCAGAGTTGTACTATACAACCATACGGACAATTGAGGCACATAGTCTCATGGACCAGAAGTCCATTGACTCAAATACTTTTAAGCTTTGGCATGATTGATTGGGTCATCCTGGATCCACCATGATGCGTAGGATCATCACCAACTCTAAAGGGCATCCCTTGTTGACAAAACACATTATGGTATCAAGTGACAGCTCTTACCAAGCTTGTTCACAAGGAAAGTTGGTGATCAGACCATCACAACCAAAGGTTGATGTTGAATCCCCATCATTTTTACAGAGAATCCAAGGGGACATTTGTGGGCCTATACATCCTCCATGTGGACCATTTTGGTACTTTATGGTCTTGGTGGATGTGTCTACCCGATGGTCGCATGTTTGCCTTTTGTCCACTCGGAATATGGCATCTGCTAGGCTCTTGGCTCAGATAATTAAATTACGAGCCCAATTCTCAGATTATCCCATTAAGTCAATTAGACTCGATAATGTTGGTGAATTTACATCTCAAACTTTTGATGACTACTGCATGTCACTAGGTATTGACATTGAACACCATGTCCCTCATGTTCATACTCAAAATGGCTTGATAGAAGCTTTGATTAAACGTCTTCAATTGATAGCTCGCACTTTGCTAATGAAAACAAAGTTGCCAGTCTTTGCTTGGGGATATGCCATTTTACATGCAGCATCACTTGTGCGGTTGACGCCCATTGCCAACAATCAATATTCTCCAATACAACTTGTGTTGGGTAATCAACCAAACATTTCACATTTAAGAGTTTTTGGTTGTGCGGTATATGTGCCTATTGCACCACCGCAACGTACTAAGATGGGCCCTCAACTCAGATTGGGAATTTATGTTGGTTTTGATTCACCATTTATCATCAGATATCTGGAGCCCCTGACGAGTGATATCTTTAGGGCACGATTTGCGGATTGTCATTTTGATGAGACAATTTTCCTACCATTATGGGGAGAAAAATCTATCCCTAAAGAACAACAAGGCAAACTCGTTCCTGAAGAACGACGTGAATTATCATGGGATGTACCCACTTTGTCTCATCTCGATCCTCGTACCACTCAATGCGAAAACGAAGTGAGAGGGATCATTCACCTCCAAAGTATTGCAAATCATATGCCAGATGCATTTAATGATGCAACAAAGGTGACGAAATCACATATCCCAGCTGCAAATGCACCTGCAAGGATTGATGTTCATAATGGACAAAACAATGTACCAGCAAATGATTCATCTATTGCACGCCTAAAGTGTGGCAAACCATTAGGCTCAAAGGACTCGGTCCCTCGAAAGAGGAAGTCGATGGCCAAAATGAATCCAAATGAAATAAATGGAGAGCCCACAATCCATAATTCAAATGCCCCCGAAGAGGCACAAGTACTTCCTAAAAGAGCAAGTATCCTTGATGAGACAAGTGCCCCTAAAGTGGCAGCAATACCTGAAAATCAAGAAATCTCCATAAATTATACATCCACTGATGAATTGTGGAATAGAAATGAGATGATTATCGATGATATATTTGCATTCTAAGTGGCTACTGAGATCATAAAAGATTATGATATTGAGTCTTACTCTATTGATGAATGCACACATAGACAGGATTGGCCTAAGTGGAAAGATGCAATCCAGGCGGAATTGAATTCTTTGGAAAAAAAAATGAGTGTTTTTGGACCTGTTGTTCCAACTCCACCCAATGTGAACCCTGTAGGTTATAAGTGGCTATTTACAAGAAAGCGCAATGAGAAAAATGAGATCGCGAGGACACAATTACATTCCGTTACTTGATAAGCTTGGCGGTTTCAAAAAAATTCGAAATGAGACTTATGGATATCATTACTGCATATCTGTATGGAGAATTGGATACAGACATATACATGAAAGTCCCAAAAGGACTTAAGCTGCCTAAAGCAGCCAGGAATAAACCATGGGGCATGTTCTCAATTAAATTGAAAAGATTATTGTATGGGCTAAAACAATCTGAGCGAATGTGGTACAATCGTCTCAACAAGTATTTACTAAAGGAAGGATACATAAATGATCATATTTGCCCATGTGTGTTTATTAAGAAATCAGAGTCTGAATTTGCGATAGTAGCAGTATATGTCGACGATATGAATTTAATTGGAACTCTTGAAGAGCTCCAAAATACTGTTGATTATCTCAAACGCGAGTTTGAGATGAAGGACCTTGTAAAGACAAAATATTGTCTTGGCTTACAGATTGAGCACAGTGCTAATGGAATTTTAGTGCAACAATCAACTTATACTGAAAAGGTATTAAAGCGGTTTGGCATAGATAAAGCTTATCCACTTAGCACTCCAATGGTCGTTCGATCGCTTGACACTAAGAAAGATCCGTATCGTCCAAAAGGGGATGATGAATTGGTCCTTGGTCTAGAAGTACCATATCTTAGTGCAATAGGTGCTTTAATGTACTTAGCACAATGTACCATACCTGACATAGCATTTTCAATAAATTTGTTAGCAAGATACAGCTCTGCTCCAACAAGCCAACATTGGACCGGCATCAAACATATTCTACGATATCTTCGTGGAACAACAGACATGGACTTATTCTATTTCAGTGAATCAACCAATGCCCCAAGTATTTTGGGTATGCTGATGCATGATATCTCTCTTATCCACATCAAGGACGCTCACAAACTGGGTATGTGTTTACATGTGGAGGAACTGCAATCTCATGGCGCTCAACGAAACAAACGTTGGTAGACACAACTTCAATCACTCAGAAATACTTGCCTTCCATGAAGCCAGTCGTGAATGCGCTTGGTTAAGGTCGATGATTCATTACATCCGAAGCACATGTGCCTTACCCTCAGCAACGGACACCCCAACCATCCTAAATGAGGACAATGCAACTTGTATTGCTCAAATCACAGGAGGATACATCAAGGGTGACAGGATCAAGCATATATCACCAAAGTTTTTCTACACACATGAGCTCCAGAAGAGTCAAGAGATTAAAGTCAGACAAATCCATTCAAGCGATACCTTGGCAGATTTCTTCACCAAATCTTTGCCAAAATGTACATTCCAAAAGCTAGTGCATGGCATCGGATTACGTCAACTCTGCAAGCATTCAAGAGTCCTCTAACACAGGACATGTGCGCGTTGTAGTCTTTTTCCTTTGATTGGGGTTTTTTCCCACTGGGTTTTTCCTAGCCAGATTTTAACGAGGCAACATGAGCGCATTTAACATTACCCTTATGTCCAAATGAAGTTGTACTCTTTTTCCTTCACTTATGGTTTTCCAAGCAAGGTTTTAATGAGGCAACCAATTTAGGGACATGTGGTCTCCAAGGGGGAGTGTTGTAAAGAGTATTGTGGAGCCCACACAGAGAAGATAAGAAAATGATAGTCAAAAGATGAATTATGATGTTGGGAGAAAATTTTGAAGATGTATTCACGGGAGGCCATTGTAATTGCCTATAAATAGGCTTCCTCTTCAGTTGCAAAATACACAACCAATTCAGAGAGAAATTTGAGAGCTCTATCTTAGAAGAGTTCTATCAGTGGAAGAAAGTTCTGTCAGTGTAAAACCACAAGAGCTAAATACTATTCTACTCCCAATATTCAGTGGTATTTCCCATACTCTGATTATTTTATTTTATAACTGCTTTTCTTTAGTCTCACTCTGCCTCTCTCCTTACCTTTCTTTTTTAAAATTTTCTTTTTTCTCTTTTAATTTTACAAAGTGATGTTGTAAAAGTCTTTGAGTGGAGCCCACTAACTATTTATTTGAAGACTTTGGACAAAGCTTGTCTGTAACTTTCCCTTACTGCACATTCACGGGAGCCTTGGCTTCTTCCATCCAATTTGCCTATAAATAGGCTTGCTCATTTAATGTAAAGGTGAACCCCTCCAGAGAATGAATGAAAGCACGCCATAAGGAAAGAAAAAAGAGTGAAAAATCTGAGAGTTTGAGAGTTTGAGAGAAAATACTATAAAGCCACAAGTGTTGGAAAGAAAGTGGTCAAAAAGTGGTGGAGCCCACATAAAGAAAAGAAGAAAATAATATTCAAAAGGCAAATGATGATGTTGGGCAAATAATGTTGCCAGGCGTAGGAGGAAATACAAAGGTTTCTCATGCCTTCCTTGCTCAACTATAAAAGGGAGGCTAGTTCCTCATCTGGAATGTAAGCCGAGAGGTAGTGAGAAGAAGTGAGAAGTGAGAACATACTGAGTTGAGAGAAGAAAAGAGAGTGAGAAATCTGAGAGTTAGTGAGTTCTATCTGAGAGAAAATTTTGTCAGTGTAAACACCACAAGAGCAAATACAACTCTACTCCTAATATTTAGTGGTACTTTTCATACTCTGATTATTTTTATAACACGTTATCAACACAATAGTCTCTCATCTTTACTTCTAAATTTTCCCAGCTCAACACTATGTGGTTATTTCTCTATCTCCTCTCTGTCATATGTCTCCTCTCACTTTACTACTACGACGACATGCTAACTTTCTTTTTTG